AATAGTAGTAGTAGTACTACTACTACCACTAGTAGTAGTAGTAGTACTAGTAGTAGTAGTAGTAGCACGATCATTACACCAGTTCGATGGAATTACTTCTCCTTTCATTGTGCACACCACTCTGTTCGAACGACTTTACCTATACAAGCTTGCAGTAGCTCATATGTTCACTGAATTATCGCATTTAACACACGTTTATGTTACCCACGTACAAGAATCCATTCTTTTTGTCCAACTGCACTGGCTCAATAACCATAACAGAACAATTCCACTCCAGATGCCCACTTTGGGATAGCCAATTGCGCAGATAATTACCAAACCGAAGGATCATTTCCTACCCTCCATTATTTTTGTATCAAACTGGATAAGGGGAACGCAAAAAAAAACATTGCTAGCCAAGGATACACCTGTCTAGACTGACACGATGCCCACTTCATTGTCCGACAAGTTGAAATAAACTATGTACACATACGCATACATGGTTGAGATACAATCAGAGCACAGACCCCCTCAATCGGGAGCGCTGATGCTTATTCCCTCTGTCTTGTCTGGACAACGTGTGCTCCAGTTTTTTTGTGACGAATGCTGATATCCAGTTTCCTCAGCGCACCGGTCCACGATCAGACCACGGCAAACGGGTATACATCAAAATTGGGAAACAATTCCCTGTTCAAGCATCTTTGTTTGGTTGTTTGCTGTGAGGGGAGGGTCAGTCATTTGCTGCCCACGCACCACAATTCGGGGAACCGTTATGGCAACACGTGCGATGGCTGCGTGATCAGAAATGTGGCAAAATTACACGGAACTACTCTCTCACTGTCTCTATTTGGTCCGAATAAGAACCAGAATAGCGTCACGCCGTGCTAGAATTCTGTTTTCACGTGTACTATAAAACGTGGTTTGAGCAGTGTAAAACAGACACTCATAGACTGTTTTTCACTGGTTGTGGAATAAAATGTGTTACGGTTTCAGGATAGGACTCACAGACTTGTCACGGTACCCCCTGATATATGGAGCATATAATCTGATAAGAAACTACCCTGGCCATCAAGCGTTTATCATGTTTCATTAATGGACGATTAGTCCTGCACTCAATATCGTTTCCATGTGAATGAAAGTAAACAATTCCAGTTTTCGTGTTCATCATAAACGGTAAGGGACAAAGAAATATCTGTCCATCCTTCATTATCAGTTCAAGACTAGGTCCTTAGGATTCGACATTTATCATGCTTTAACTCACGTATTGCTTTCATCTGATTGGGTTACATCATCGCTTAAAGCTATTTCAAATGAAAACGCCCTTATCCAATTATTGAACCTTTTTTCCATTCTCACCATGCGGCGTCTGATATCACGCGACTGTAAGTGGTGGGTGTACGGAGTACATTTAGGTGCTGTGCACGCTGAGCGTGCGTTGTGGAAGCCCAGCCAGCTGATTGGAAGCATTTCATGCACGAGTGTGTAGCCGAGGGACCAAGGAACGTGTCGTGCATACACATGTCCGTTGTGACCCATGCGATGCACTCACCATTCCAAAAAGTCCTCTCAAGCGATCCCGCGGCACGAGAGAACATATGCTTGCGGATTCATTCTTTTCATTGTTACAAGTTTTCCTAATCCGATACCTAATTGAAAGTAACAAACCTTAGTTTTGACCGAGATGTTATAAAAGGAATCAATGAACAGGTTTGGTAGATGTTTTGTAATCAAAAATTAAAATTGTTTAAAAAACTAAAAAGCTGTGATCATTCTTATCTGTTAACGAATACCTTTGAACCGATTCCCGTCAATTTTACACCTAAAGTAACACTTGCGGGCAAACCTATGGGTGCAATGATGAGGGACTTTAAACTGCAATTAATTTTTCGTATTTTAGCGCATTAAACGCCACAGTGTTCGGTAGAAATATATATTTTGTCAAGGTTGTGTATGTGATAGAAAGTAGTCAACCAGGCATCAGTGTATTTCTGTTGAATAGATGGACGGGATGGTGGAAACGTTTGCGATTGCCGTCAAGTTTTGTTCCGTGCGGATTCCAAGTAAACCATTTGTTTTGCTGAACTTGTACGAAACGTAATGAAGTACAAAATAGAAAATGACTGCAGAATAAAGTTGGTGGATTCTAAGTTCTAAGGAACAAAGGCAGGCCAATCGACGATTAGTGTACACAAACTTTACATCTTAATTATTATCGATTTTAATTCGTTGTAAATAAAAATTATTTTATTCTCCTTAGCTCGTAACTCATCATGATCTAAGTCAGCCACTACTAACGAAATGGGAGTATAAACGAATCACGAAAATTACTGACAAAGATTAATCAAGGCTTGTTTATTACCATTTGGAAAAAATTACTTCAGTATAAATGCTGTTGCTTATACGAACCCTCAAGTATTTCACAGGGACTCGTTGTTTCAGTTTCGATTAGATCTGTACGTGACGTGATCATCGAACGATTGACTCCTTCAGACGAAGTTGAACTCGCGTTGCGTTACAGATGAGGACTGCTTACGACGACCTTACTTAAGTCCTTCGACCACCCTTGGGCTTTTTTGTCTTGTTTCTTTTAAGGAGAAAGCAAATAACAAAAGATCATATAAAGATTGATCAAAGTGTACAATTTCACTAAGCAGTTGCACGAACTATCGTGACAAGGGTAGGGAGGGTGAAAGCGGCCACAGATCAGTGAGCATGATTAGAATCGACAGCCGTCTTGAACAAACAGGCATTAGCCGAAGCTGATTGGAAAAAAATCGAGTGCAATACCAGAAAATGGTGATAATTGGCATCTCGTACTGATTAGGGTGAATGAAACTTGAGGAGCTGCATTTCCTGGAGTGAGATTTCTGTTCAACAAAGTTCCCAGCGAAAAACACGAACTCTGTGTAACATACCGCCAAGTATTCGAACAAGGTAGGGAAAGTATTCATTGTTCGTCGGATGAGCTGTCGACTGTTGACGCAAACATAGATACAAGATACAAAGATAGACGTGTGCAATCAAACATCATCGCATGATCGTCGTGCAACGACCATTAAAGTAGGATTGGATTAATTCAATGCCAGTTCCACGACTAGAATCAGGTACGGCCCCTGCAGCCCAGAAAAAGATCTCGAGTTTAGAAACAACCTACGCGGACTTCAACCTGGACCGACAGGCCCCACACTGTATAACTGGGGAGTTATTATACATAACACGGGCACTCAAATCACTCGACTGAGATACACTTACAAGAAGGGATAACACAGATACATTGGAGAATATGTATATTCGTGGATTTTGTGTATATATATGTATATATGCATATATGTATATATATGTGTTTGTGATTCGGTGGTTGTATATTCATATGTTGCTTGATCGCTGATAAAATTCATAAATTTGTGTGAGAAATGGAGTCGAAATACATCATTACGTATGCGCTTATGTATGTATATATATGTATATGTGCACGTATATGCATATGATACAGCGATATCATGGTCAGCACCAATGATAGCGACAGTATGATGTGGTCGTATTGAAAAGAAAAGAACAATCAAACACGAAGAACATACAAGACCGCGTCGACCAGAGAGGGCGAAGGGGAGTGAACNGGGAGGACGAGAAATCAAGTGATTAAAGGCGAAGAGGTTGATCAAGCTGAGGTTGCTGCCGCCGCCGCGGCCTTAGCAACACCAATAGGACACGAATAAGTCTGGCGTGAGACAAACGCTGACCCGACTGGATGAAGAGATGGGGGCTAGAGAATAGGACGGGGAAAATGCGACTGTCTTATTAAAATTTGTGTGTGAGAGTGCAATGCTATACACGACATAAATCGTCTGTGTGTGGCATGCAATCGAGTAAATGCCTATGTACACAGCAAACATCTGCGGAATAGGGGAAAGTGATGTAAGAAGCTCACAGGGACAGAGACAGAGGAGGAGAGGCTCAACAGCATGAAACAGATGAACGAGGCGAACGCTTCGCGAAAGAATTCGAATTCGGCAGAATGGAGGTTGGACCACAGTACAAACCCAACCTCACATATCGATTAGAGGCATCTGAAAAAGAACTTTTCTCCTACTTTCTCCGTCGCGAAGATTGAATAAAGGAATAGAATGAAAAAAGACGGACACCGTTCGGTGTTCAGATCTAGGACATAATGTTGGCAAAAATGGAAGAAGAGGGAAGAAAGGAAGGGGGAAATGCATTGATTACACGAGGCGAATCGCGTCAGTAGACAGGAGCGCGCGAGAGAGAGACATGGTTGCCGAGGTCCCGAGAGAGAGAGAGATCACAAAGGTCGTGGGCAAAAAATCACGCAAACAAAAGCAGACAAGATAGAGAAGCAAGAAAGCTGAGTCTGATTACAACAGCTGATGAGAGATCGTATAGGTCTGTTCTGTGTATGCGTTATTGGTTCTGGTTGGTTAGTTTTCCTGTGCGTCGATTTAGGCCAGTAGATGAATTAATGCGTGGAAGCAATCAGGAGTAAGTGGGGTTGTGCAATTCACCGAGTTCGAATGGGACGAGCTGTTGAGCACCGCCAGAAGAGGAGGATGGTTTAGACAGAGACCGTACCGTAGGGGGAGGGGGAAAAGAGAACGTCAGAAGATAGGGAACATAGTCACAAGACAAGAGGATAAAATCGAGTGAGGTAGAAGACTTACACAGAGAGAAAGTAAGAGAAGCTAGGAGTCAATGGTGGTGAGCAGCGGAAAAAGCGGGAGGTAAAGGTGTGTGTGTGTATGTTAAGCGATCACGAAAAAATGCCCCAAATCAAGACAAGTCGTAGGTTACCACAGACAGGCTCTATCTTCTCAAAATACCGAGGGTTCGAGGAACCTAGCGTCAGAGGTAAATGAAACCTGAGGATCGAGTGAATGATGAAAAGTTGGGAAAACCGTAGTCTCAATATATTTAATCACGATCATATCGACCACGAGGGTCTGAAGATTGAAACAACGGATCACGGGGGAACGGGGGAATAAGAGAAGGACTACCAAAGTCAAACACTACGCCGACGGACCATGATTGACCTCAGAGTAACAACCGTTCAACTGATGTGACCGAGCACGTAAAGTGCTAGAATTGTATTCATCACTGCCATTTGAAACTGCATCTTCCAATTGCCCTGATGATTTATATGCCGTCGGCTCTGAACGACTGAGCGGATTCGAATCAGATTGATCGGGAATTCCACTGGAGTCAGACGTCTGAGAATGAAGAGAACAAAAAATAAACTGTTGAAAATATGGACAACCATACAAGTCGGAATGTCTATGACGCCTTATTCCAAGGGTAATGAGGGATTAAAGAAAATCAGCAGTGAATTCATAGAGTACGTTGCAGTTATGCCAAAGTCGTTCGGTTCGATACCACATCCGACTTAGTGGGGCCTTACGTAAATCACCACTCCAAATGACCATCAGTGAACAGCAGGTCTTTGTGGCTATCCGGTGGTCCACTCCATCTGCTGTTCATCACACAATTGTGTGTGTGTGAAAGAAAACCAATATCCGTAACGTACTGGGTAGGTATTCAACAGAAACAGATTAATGCCTGAGGCGACAACAGACAGGATGATAACACGAAGACGTACATGAGGAGGGTAGAGTGTGATTAACCATGACGATCTATTCAGCTGTTCGATGAGAGACTCATCACAGTGCAAAAGGATTCACGAAGAGTTATCTCAGTGATCGAACCAGATACACAGCAATCTGTACGAGGCTGGGTTGCAGATCCGCCAAGATTGCAGCACTATGGCTAGTGAAGTAGTACGTTACCATGTGCAAGTAAGAGAATCAGCATTGAATTGATTTACCACGTATAAGTGTGACCATCGCTTCACTGCACAGACTAGGGTGGAGGAGCAGCAATGGTGTCTGAGGATATGGACAGCTTTCGCCTTGCAGACGATCTCTCTGCAACAAAATGTAACACATATGTCCATAGAAAACGTCTTCACCTGCGAGAATTCAAACCACCATTAAACAAAGGCCACCTCCATCATGCTGTATCCTTACAGGTAGCTCCCAGCAATAGGAGAGATAAGAAAACAATGCATGAGGATATAGGTCACGTGGTACCGGAGATACCACATAAACCTACGTGGTCTAAATCCTCCTCGTGGATACATCCATCAGCCAACTTATCATCAACTAGGCGTGCATTGTTTGAAAGTAAGTACAGTATGAGTCAAGAGCTTGATAAAAACATTTTTTTCCATCCGGTACGCTATCGCTTAGCAGCAACCAATGAAAACATTGGTTGAGCAACTGCCATCAAATAACAATACTGCATTCACCTGTTCTAAAGTGGGTAAAAATAGAATGCCGCTAATTAATGAGGTAGAAAGGTTGGACTAATTCCACCGCTTACCCTATTTTGTGTGCCATGAAGTGATTGTTGCGACTGTTTCCCGTATCCATCGTTAGGGAAGTCATGTTCCGGTGAAGGTTTCAGTGAATCTCTCCGTTGAGGAATCACAACACCGGCCTGTTCTGCACTGAGCCGATGTGGTGTGGTCTGATGAAAAGCGGAATCGCGACTAGTCGGAGCAAAACTTAATAGTCGATTTGAGTGTTCTCGACCGGATTTCAGTTCATGCATTGGCAATTCGTCCACAAATGCGAGCGGAGCGGACGCCTCGTCCTGAATCGTTTTCTTCCCCAATCTGACATCGGTCCCGTTTACGTGGCTACTATTTGTATGCGGCAGAAGATCTGTTTCAAGTGGAATGCCATGTGAAGAGGGAGGGGACACCAGACAAATAGCAAAGGAATTAGAAAAATGCTCTGAACTACACATGACCAGAAGCGGATTGCTCATAAAGCGCTTTGCAATACTTAAAAAAAAATGAGATATAGTACATCAAGATGACGCGGCGGCAACGGATATTGGCTCCCTCGTGTGTAGTGGTAGGGGAGAGCGGAGCGGTGTGGGGTAGGATGGGGTGGGATGGGAGTGAAAAATACGTGATGCGAAGCGAAACATCGACAAAAATAGCACGAAAACGAGCGGCTTGGTGTAGCAAGAGCGGAGCAAAGCGGGTATCGAAACGGCTTCGTGAGTGAGTACTTGTGTGCGTATATTCGTACACGCAACTTCACACTCGAGGGCACATTGAACACCAACCTGGATTGGATAAACCGGGACAGAGACGATGCGCAGAATCTATCGGAGGCAGAGAACCAGCGACATAGGCGGAGCACGGTCGCCCGAGCACCATAGGAGGTAGACCGCCGTCCAGAGCTGAGCTGGATCGGTTACGCCAGTGGCGAGCGCTTCGTCGTGCCGCCGCACCAAGAGCCCCTCTGTGCTGTCCAGGTGGTCGATTAAGATGACGCTGGGAGAACCGCGTCTCTGTACAAGGCAATGAAACATCTGATGCAGTTGGCTGTTGAGAGCCGTGTGAACCGCACGGTACAGGCACATGAGAACGTAAAAAGGGTCGGGTTGAAACATCTTGTTTGTTCCACTCCATCGATCCGTAACACATAGGTTGTTTATTCTGGTGCAAACCGGCCGAGGACGTGCTGAGAAATCCCATGGAAGCACACGAACTTCGTCTTCCGGTGTTCGATTCAACCGGAACGATAGGATGCGCTTGAGGACAGAAAGTTGGATGTGGCCCAGTGGGGAGAACAACGGCGGGGATCCACGAGCCGTTGATGGATGGAATGAGACAGATTGGTTGTGCCACCGGAGCTAGCACACAGCTCGGTCGTGGTGGTCTATTGTCATGAGACTTAACGGTGTCTGATTGAAGAACCCAGTTCGGAAGGCCAGAAGATCGTTGAGAACGGGCAGAATGAGCATACCATAAAGGATCTTCATAGTCATGTATTCGATTGCATGCAGTGTAATCAGAACGATGAGAAGGAGACAGAAAAGATATTCGGTATCAAATCAGCACGACAACTGAGAAACATTGCACAATAAATAGAAATCAGCATTCATGTTACATATGAATGAATGAATGTGTGCCGAGACCAACATAGAACACTTGGACCCTTAAGCATGAAAAAGGTAGACACGTAAAGGTATTGGACCAAATTCAACATACCGTTAGACGCCACTTTTGCCGGTGATCCTCCCGAACCGTGATGTAAGCTGGGTGGAAGCGGGCGCGGTTTTNGCGGTTTTTGATAGTCGGCATGAGGACGTGCGTCTGTCTCGTCTCCATGCTCCGGTCCAGCTCGTGTGCCATTTGGCCGAAGCGTTTCCGTCTTGCCAGATCGTAGAGTTCCGTTGAACTCTTCCTGACCATTCTCCACATAGTCCATTTCCGGTGGATCACCTACCCCGTCTGTCGCGGGTGGTTCGACAGATACAGGATGTAGGATCTGTTGCGCGTTCAGCATACTTCGAGAACCGTGTACTACCTGTGGCGTGTGATACTGGACGAAGGCGGGAATGGGTTGAGCGGGATTCTGCTGTTGTTGAGGTGGGGCTAGAATTTGACTGCTATGTGCAGAAAATCTATCGCTACCCGAACCCAACGACAATCTATCTGAACCGATTACTGAATTCGGTCGCATTCCGACGAACTGAACAAACTGTCCTTGAGAAGTCGGATGTGATGACACATAGGTCGCATGCGGTGTGGCCGGATAGAATGCGACAGGAGAAGCTGGGTGTAGCTGTCGAGAAGGAATGCATGCTGATCCGGGTGCGTCTAAATTGTAACCGATATACGACGAACTACCCTGATTGGTTGGTGTACCGGTTCCGGACAAAGTGGCCGGGCCGTAAAAGACCATTGATGAGGCAGGAGAATAACGTGGCATAATGGCAGTGCGACTACCGACAGCATTTGCAGGAACCGCATAAGGCATGGCTGGTGACATCATCATAACGACGGGGACATGTTCCCCACTGGAGGTAGGATACAATACTAAATGTGATTGACCTGCTCCGGATGAATCCTCTCGATCCACATAGTCCGTCATAGTTGGTGCCGTGCTCCCATGACTGCCTCGTTTCGCGTTCTCTTGCTGTCCAGTCAGTAGCGCCGTCGAACTGTCATCCATTCCTCCAGGTACAGCAAAAGTGGACGAGGCGAGGGAAGGACGTCTATGGGATGGCCCACGAATCGAGGCGAAACCGCGGACGCTGGACTGAGTCCCAACCCGACTAGGATGAGCTGAATGACCGGGATGAGGGGACAAAAATGGTACACCAGCCAAACTGCTCCCGGCAGAATGATTGTACCGGTAGAACTGTGGATCAGGTGACGGAGCTGGAGGTTTGTGTGCGTGAGACATGGAGCCGTGATGTTGAGGTTGTTTCGATCCATGCCACCAATAGGACCCGTTCGCCTTCACCTCACGTCCACTATTGGCCACGGAACCGCCGAGGAAACCGCGAGCACGACAAGCCAAAAGAACAATAGTGGTCAAGGCAGCTAGGAACAGGAATGCCAGCAAGCCGACAATGATGTACACATGTAGCTGTGTCAGTCCTAGTGCGTTCGGATCCGGGGTCAGGGGAATCAAGTTCTAAACAGAAGAGTTGGGGCGGATAGCAAAACAACGAGGGAAATTAACAATTGGAATAGGTGAACTTACTTTGCGTAATAACAGAACAAGGGAATGTGGGCCTGATATGATTAAGCCACGGTTTAGTAAGTTGATTGTTTGAAGCTCAGAATTGCCAGGGAAATTATTATCGATAGTGTCGAACACAATATAATAGTGATTGGAAATTACCAACTGACAGACAGATAGTCCGTAAAACAGAGCACGAGAAATTCCAAGCGATTTCATCTTTCAAGTTATAACACACCTGGATCGAAGAATCTGCAATCCTTTTATTTTATCTTATCCAATGCTGTCTGTGGACACGCTATACTCTGACCTGTATTTGCTACTGGAAATTGTACAAGAATGCTGCTATCATACAGATAGACGCATACACAATACCAACAGTATACCATTGCCATGTTGACATTACCTCAGGGCAGGAACTGCGGCATTGAGTGATACCACGTGGGGACCCGAATGATCGAAATCATTCATCTGAAGTCAAAACAAAACTGGGAATCCCAATCAAAAACTAGTTCTTCCTCAGACAGTCTAATGAGAAAAATTATGTGATCGGAAAATTACAGCCCGATGGAACCTGAATCAGACGACCAAATTGTATGCAGTGGTCGGATAGACTAAGTACCCGAGAGTCACACGACAAGGTAACTTGGATGTTGAATGTGACCTGCTTAGGGGTGATGTCATAGAGGGGTGGAGAGGGCGCGCGTGTGTTGAACAGGCAGCTCAAAGGACGGATGAACAAATGAACGGACCCACTAGGAAAGACAACACTGACGCATCACACTCAGTGGCCATGTTTTTAATTGATAACCAGAATCGGAAGTGAAGACATTTATTTAACAAATAACCGGGACAATCGTCTGCAACGATGGTTATGCACAGTAGAACCGATGGGCCAAATGGATCCTGTGTCCGCAAATCATGCTACGAAATTCCTGCATAGAGAAAGTGTGTTCGACGTGGGGGAGAGAGGGAGCAAGGGATCAAAAACACAAACAGCTTCGTTTATCTCAAAATGTCACCTGGCGCCGAAACATATGCTGTTTGGCAGACCATTCATCCCAGTTCAAAAAAGCACTACCACCACCACCCCACCCCCATCTAACGTCGTCGAAATAGTGATTTCCGTTTTTCACTCACGGACATGCAGACAGTACGAATAGATACCCCTTACTCATCCACCCAGATTACCAAAAAAGGCCAAGTAAACAACAGACAGTTAAAAAGTACTGAAAGCGTCCGTCCACTAGGCAATTGAAATTTTGTTTTCGTTATTATTCGATCACACTAATCATAGATGTTTGGTAAAGATGAAAATTACATATGCATACGCAATATCAGAACGATTCCCGTAGTTCCGCTGACCGAATAACAAAAGGATGATGATGTGTCATTTAAGTACGCATTAACCGATACTGATGGTGACATTCATAGCATTAAGCGAATAAAAAGCCAATGAGATTATTCACATTAGAACTTTACGTTTAACATTGCAAAGATATCATGCTGCCCTGTTATAGTGCGCGATGAACCCAAAATCTTATATGCGAACAGATAATGAACTCGCGTCCACCGGATGACCGATGAGGCACCAGAACAATGTCTATCATCTATTTCGATCAGTCCAATTGCACAAGTAAAGAATCACATCAGCTCTTAAAGCCTCAGTACGGTCGGGGATGCGTGTCTACGGTTTCGGCTGGTTACTCTACCCTTGCACCGCGCGAAATGCTCACATACGAACAAGCGTCTCAAATAGCCTCTACTAAGAAAGCCCTACTCATTGCCTTCCCGTGGCGGAGGTGTTTCCCCACCAAAGTGAGAGGACGAAAAACCGACAACCGGGGATATAACCCGGTTGGTGGACCACTGGTAGTTCACCTAGGGGAGTTGGCCAAAAAACCCTGATTCCAAACCAACCATGAAGAGGCGTACGAACCACACACACAACTTCCTGGTTATGGCAGCGGTCACCGACTCCATTGGACATCGAGGTGGACTCGAGGTGGACACCGAGTATGCTATACAGGCTTGGAATCCATGGCTGATAGCGACCAAAAGGCACTTGAACGTCCGCAGAGAACAGCAACCAAAATGGTCGAAGGGTTACAATCCAAGACCTATGGTGAAAGACTGCGAATTCTCGGACTCTACTCATCTGAATACCGTCGAATACCGAGAGACATGATCCTCGTTTATCAAATACTACATCAACCAAACCACCCGTGTAGTACTCTAGTAACGCTATCCAGGAATGGTCACCTCCAAGGACATCCGTTCAAACTTCTGCTCCAAAAAAGCCGGCTCCACTGCAGGTGTCATTCTTTCAACCTCAGAGTTT